GAAGCTGCAGATTCAGTGCCATCCTTTGAGATACATTCTTCTCAGGGGAGGGGCAGGGATCCACTTAGTATTTGGGGCTGGGACCAGCCCCCTAGACCTATGATGTCCTTTTAACAGAAATGACTAACATCTTTAGCCTACTATCATCTTTTATTCAAAGAATTTCCATTTTTTCTAATCTAAGTTTATCTTCATGGCATACAGTTGAACTATCTAGGGAAAACAACCTCATTCCATTTTACAGGTGGGGACCCAGTCTCGGGAAGCTGTCTGACGTGTCCAAGGACACTGGACGCAATGGTGGCACTAATGGTAGAGTTCATTTACCTTTACACAACGCGGAAGCAGTCTCATGGAATCTTATTTTTAAAAACTTGAGAAATAGAAAGGCCACCTCTGTTATCTAGGAGCTGGACTCCTATTATCTGCTGGGTCTGGATGTCACTGCCCGCTGGCCTGGCCCTCACCTGCCCCTGGTTTTCTCCTCTTGGATAGGGGGGGCATTTCACAGAATAGGGGCATCAGACAAAGCTGCTTTCTGACCATGATGAATCAAGACCAAATTAAGACCCCTCCCTCACATATGAACATTGACAAATGACTAAATAAACAAGTGGCTAACCACCCTCTCCCTCCACCAATTAATGTAAGTGATTGATCCTCTGTACCACCAATTACAGCAGTAGCCTGGCTCTAGTCTAGCCTCCTTAGAAATAAGATTTATGAAGATACAAGTCATAGGATCACCCCCACTTTCTGACAACACCAATTTCTGCTTCCTTACATCTCTTCCAAAATCATCTGATGGAAGCCCAAATCCTATCATAAGTTCTTTGTCAGTCGGCCCACCCTTCCTCCCAGGGTGCGTTCTTTCTCACTGCCATGAATACCCTGTCCAGCTGTGAGCGTCTTTGCCTCACGTTCACAGAAAGTGTGACCAGCCACAGCGTAAGAACTAAAGGAACCGTGAGTCGGGTCAACTTTCCAAACGATATGATTTTCCTAAATTATAGGAAAGTAAGAACCCACCCACCCTGGAATGGCCATATGGAAACCGAGGGGAGATCCCACACAGGGTGATAAGATTGAATTGAAAGGAGATCCACTTGATCTAATAAGTCTATATCTTCTATAGTGATTAATATAAATTAAAGCCAACAACATACTTTGGCTTCATTTGCACTGTAAGTCCGTTAGAATGAGGATTCCAAAAGGATTTAATGGGATCGAGCGATTCTGATTTGATTCCCCTCCCCCATGCCAGTGTCTTCATACAACACACAGCTGAGTCCCGGTGTCAGGACGGTGGTCACTTCAATTAAGCAGTCCAACTTTTTCTATGAAAGAGTAGAGTTTTGTGATGAAGTAATAATGCTTACCAATTCCAAAAGAAATTGCTAAATTCCTAAGAAAATTGGCTTACAGATTTGGTCTACAATACATCAAAATACCTAGAATGCCTTAAAAAAATAATTCAGAAGCCTGCACTACTGAAATTTTGATTGAATAAAGAAGTCATATTGACATCATAGAGTACTGGGACTAGAACTTTATTGAATTTTAAAATTATGAAGAAATCAGAAAGGTAAATTACAGTAATGATTTTAATGAAAATTGACTCTAGTCCCCATAAACACTGTGCTAAGAGACATCTTCTTATACCCTTTTTTACTATTATCTTTGATCCATGGACTATATACAGTGAATCTCTTCTGCGTCCCTAGTTTTTAAATTCCCCATTACATTTTTACCTTGTTCTTATAAATATAAGTAATATGCATGGGATTTGTTGGATTAAAAAGAAAAAGTCCTACTCACCACATTTTTTCCTTCATTTTGAGCATCTCGATAATCAGGATTAAGCTAAAACAAAAATCAAATGAAACAATTGTGTTAAAATTATATTAATAAGACCAATGATTATGCTACCTTTAAATTGGTTTAATAAAAAGTAAGCTAAGACACAAACTTGTATAAAAATACAACTTAAAACATTATTTTCTAACCGCGCTTGCAGAAGACAAGAGCTGACATGCTACATTTAGGACCTGGGTTCTATACAAGAACTGTTGACACTTTTCAACCAGTGAAAACGGACAGTGTCAACTCTCCTGCAGAAACATCCAAGAGCATTCATTACTTTCCCTGCCACAAAATGGGCCAAGCAGACATCAACTTTAAAGAGATCCGAGGTAAGTTCCAACCATGATTCAAGACCATGGTCCACATGCTACACACAGACGGAAGACACTGAAGCCAAGAAGGAGCTGAAGATCAGATAACTGGCCAATGCATGAGGACCGTTGAACTTCAAAAACAAGAACACATGGGGTTGGGCTTTAGTGTGAGTGTGGAGCTCAGGGATTATTCAGAGGAGAAAAAATGAATTCCATGAATGCATATGCTCGGCGTTGGCCCACACCTCATCCAGCTGGTTAGAATCCATGACTGCTGACTCCCTGCTGCCAGCACGGTCCCAAAAGGCTGTCGTCGCTGTACCAAAAATAACTAGTGAAATTATTAGCAGAGTAACAGGTTTCCCAGGTGTTTTTCTAAAGACAACTAGTCTTCCAGTTGAATTTAATCATTTTAGTTTGAACCACGACATGTGTAAAGTGCACAATTCCAACTAGGTAAAGTTATCATTTAAAATGAAGGTCTGGAGTCTTGCTCACAATGACATTTAGTTAATAGCTAGGAACATTGCCCCTCCCCCTGTATCACTAAATATCAGTGACGGGGTCAAAAAGAATTACCAAAAGCAGAACAAAAACTTCCAATAGTAGTGAAACCTAAGGCTGAAAAAGAACCTAAACCCTAAATCCCCAGTGAGTCGGCACTAGGACTGGAGGGGACACAGACAGCGCTCCATTGCCCATCTCATCACATTCCTTGACGTCACTTACGTTTAGGCACCTTCTGAATTTGCAGTGGCAAATTCTACTGCTTCAGTGACCTAAGAGAGATGCCAGCAAAAAACTCCACAAGAATGTGGAGTGTATTCAGGAGTGGCTGTCAGACTGAGCAGAAAATGGATTCTCCAGGCCTCCTCATCCACGGTTGTACTACCTCATTCTATCTTCTTCTAGCCAGAAAGAGCCTGCAAAGCTCAGGAAACAAGCTGAAAGAGCAGCGGGTGGCAAAGGCCTTCACAGAGGCACTGGGTGGAGAAAGGGGCAGGGATGCTCAGTGTGCTGGAATTACATGACATCACCTGACTGAAACAGGAAAGGGCATGGGAGAAAGGAGCAACACAAAGGAGCTTAGGTACAAGCTGACATCTGCTGGGATGGGAATCTGCTCTGGGCACATGTCCATCAGCGTGCCCTGCAGCTGAAGATTGAGAAGGGGGATTTAATTGTCATCGTTGAGAACAAAAAGCAAACGATGAAACAAAAGGACAATCCGCTCAGCCCATCTGGCTCTGGACAGAGCTCATTTGTCTGAGGATAATAGGAAAGAAGGAAAACACAAAACAGGGCTGATGAACACCATGTTGGGATCGGGGGAAATGTTTTCCCCGAGTCTTTGTGAGCATGCCCTACAGCAAAAACGAGGCGTAAATCCCCCGGAAGTGCTCTGACACACCCCAGAAAAGGCAGGTGCATAAGACTGCTCAACAAGGGCCACAGATGAAGATGAACGCCGAGGAGAGTGTGAACATCATAATACTGTCCTTACTACAGCAACAAAATAATAATATAAAAACCAATAGTACAGAAAGAAGTATAAGATAAGGAGAAGCTCTGGAGTATTTCGATGAAGATGAAAACAAACTAAAGAATTAAAGCTCATTTTGGAAGCAATTAAAAGTAAAGTCAATGCTACAGAAAAGCAGTGATGCTGAGGATATAAACTGGGAAAGGAGAATTGGGAAAAGGAAAATGACCATAAAAAACAAGAACAGAAAGTATCAAGTACTGAGTTGCCAGGACCCAAAGAACAGAAGACTCTGGAGAGGAGAAGCAATAAGCAAAGGCAACAGAGAATACAGATTCCTTCAGCTCGGGAAAGAATTGTATGTGCAAAGGTTACCATATTGTAGGAAAATCTATTAACAGAGACTGACAGGTTTGTCTGGAATGTTTGGAGGGAAATGAAGAGAAAACAAAGGTAGGCACATTAAAAAAGAGCCAGCATTCGCCTTAGACAAAAATGGCAAATGTGGCGTATTCATAAAGTGGCGCACTATCCAGCAAGAAAAAGACTGAACCACGTATACACACAGGCAACCAGCATGTTCAAAAGTAGTACGCTAAGTGGCAGGAGCCAGATATGATCAAAGAAAGCACTGTATGGCTCCATTTGTTTGAAATCCAAGAAGAGACCAGCTAAACTATGGTCATACAGATCAGAAAGTGGGTGCTGGAGTGATGGGCATGAGTTACACAATGATGGGAGGAAGAGGAGGAGGAAGAGGAGAGTGTTTACAAAAGTGTGTACAATTGACAAAAACGCATTCACTCATTTGATAAAATGATAAAACCCCTGATATCTGGGCATCTTACTGAACATTAGTTATATTTCAATTAAAATGCACTTGATGAAACCTTAAATTTGGGCTAGATTGGACAACAATTTTACTGTAAGCTAGCCAGTAGACTAGCCTTGTCCTGAAAGGATTTACAGGGAAGTCCCGGTGATCTATATGCCAGATACTCAACAAGTGATGGCCACTGTATTTGTTTTAGAGAGTACGCAGCCAAAGAACAAAGCTGCATCCCTCAGACCTTACTGACACTCAGAGCCACCAGTGCCTCTATAGGAGAAGGCATGGCCATCTAGTCCCACGAAGATTACGCCTCAGAAACCGCACGTGGCAGCTCTCTTTTGTCCTATAAGATCATTATGAATCAGAATCAAAGCAACATCAGCCAGCTCACTAAGCCAAGACCGCCCTTGTACCATTTTCCCAGAAAATTTAGTTGTTAGTCACCATCTTATAAATTCTCCCTAACTTTTCTCCTAAAAAGGTAAGGATACAGGTGCTTGACTAATTCACCCACGTGGTGTAAATTTCCCAATTTCAGCATCACTTTAGATAAGAAAAAATAATGCCTTCAAATATCTAACCATATGTCAAATTCAGGAGAAACTTTAGTATTACCCTGGACTCTACTAAGTCTAAAGTATATGAATAAGTATACTTTCTTAATGAATAAGTATATTTTCAAAAGCACACTTAATGAATAAGTGTATTTTCAAAAGCACACACACAAAAAAACTATAGCGAGCACAGAGCATTTTTGTCTCTAACCACATAGTAAAGGCCATTTTTCAGAAAGAAATTGTACTAATGTAAGTCATCCACAGTGCAGATTTTGTTAAAAGATTTCACATACAAGATCTTAATTGAGGACACCGTTGTACTTCAAGTCATAAAACAGAAGAAATTTACAAATTTACTAAAAGAAGGGGTCTTCAAAGAGTTCACAGAAAATGCCTATTATGAAAAAAATTATGTATGGACTTCAATTTTTTGCACCACCACAATAAATTCATATTAGCTCATTATGACACATCTCAATCGGATCTGGTTTGAAGCAGATTTGAAAAGTCTTGCTAAAACTGAAGCAAGACCTTCATATCAAATGTCTGCTGAAACCTGATTGGCATTTTATGGAACGCTGAGAGGGGAAATGCCGTTTACAAATGGGTAACTCATTTGCAGAAGGGATGAGATGATGTTGACGATGAAACCACAACAGTGGCCACACAGAGCAGTTTGCGAGGAAACAGGTCATCCGGTTCATTCCCTAACAGACGAGACCATTCTGCTCCATGGGTGCTAAGGCTGCTTTGAGCAGAGCACACTTGGAAATTTTAAATGAGTGAGAAACAAGATCCTGGAGCAGTTCTTGAAAGAAATGTAACAGAGACGAAACACGAACTTTACCAGTGTGATCCAGTACTTTCCCCAAACACACTCAAAGCAACAGCTACCGAGACCCAACAGTCAGCCAGCCAAAATCAAGGGCAAAGTTCATAGCCACAATGTTAGAGGAGCCTCAAGACATTTTGCTCCTTGACATTCAGGAGAGCCAAAGAACATCAACACCAACTTGTGTGAGAGTAGAAGGCCTGGTAGTTCAGTGGTTACCAGTTGGTCTGTGATCCATACAGTCGGCAGTTCGAAAACCCGGGCAGCTCCACAGGAGAAAGACTGGGCTTCCTACTCCCTTAAACAGTGACAGTCTCAGGAAGCCCCAGTGGGTTGTTATGAGTCCCCATGGACTCAATGGCAGTGAGTTTGGCTTTGGTTTTATTGTGTGAGTGCTTTGAGAAAGTTAGCCAGAGCTCTAGCAGAATGGTGCCAGGAAAAGCTTCCCCAGAGCCCTTCTCCCGCATGATGTTCCTGCTCATTGCTCTCCTCAAACAAGAGCAATTTCCTGACAGTTTCTATGGGAAATCATTTAAAAATCTTAGCAAGCACTCATTTTTCTTCCATGAATAAATAAATCTGCATTGGCATCACTTACAAAAGTGTCTTGAACTTGATGGAGCTTATGTTGAGAAATTATATATATATATACTTGTTATTCCATGCTTCCATATATATATACTTGTTATTCCATGCTTCCCCACCTATCCCTAGCCTCCTTTAACCACCTCTCTATGGATGCACGCAGAAGACAAAAACTAAGAGAGACGATGGTTCATTCAATATGATCCGGTATCTCTAGCAGTGACAATTCTTTGTCCTAAGCAGGTGTAAAATGTGTGGATAGTTGAAGAAGAAAAAAATCCTGTGAATCTGTATTACAAAGTGAAAGTACCAGGGAGCTTCAAACACTTCGTGGAAAATTCTATTTCCTTTTATTTCCATTTTTCACAAGCTTTTAAAATCCCCTTCAGGTGCTTAA